TGTTCGTTGGCATCACAAAAAAAGGACTGCCAATCAGTGGTTAACTGGGGCAAGGAATGGCTTGTAAATTTTAACGCCTCCAAAACAAAACTGTTTTCATTTAATCACCACAGAGAGACGATTCTGTCTGCCACCAAGATGGATGATGCTAAACCCCAGGAGAGCAACACTACGCCTTTTTGGCATCACATTTTCCACTTAAATGAAGTGGAGTGACTATGTTGAATCAATTGCTTCGTCTACTGCAAGGAAAGTTGATTCACTATATCATGCCATAAACCTTTTCTCTTCAGAATCTATATTACACATTTATAAATCTACCATTCGTCCGTGTATGTAATACTGTTACCATATCTAGTCTAGTGCTCCTGCTGTACATCTCGAGATTATTGAGAAAATCCAAAGAAGGATCTGTAATGTAATTAATCCTGACCAGGCATCTCGTCTTCAGTCACTTCTCACCGATGTAGCGTGGCTTCCCCTTGTTTTTCATACAAATATTTTCATGGCAGCTGCACTAACGAGCTTTTTTTCCCTGGTGTCCCGACTACGTGAATTAAAGCGTGTTATTAGATTGGCAACTAAGTCCTATCGTTTTACTGTTGAAATAGCTAAATGCAACCCCCACTTCTATTCCAATAGTTTCTTTTCCTGCACTTCTCACCTGTGGAATTTCCTTCCATTTTCTTGCCTCCCAGATAACTACAATCTTCAAATATTTAAATACAACGCCATCACTCTTCTTCTTGAATCCTGTTCATTTTTGTCCTTTCCTCAATCCTCCCTCAAACTCAGTCTTCTCATTCTCTTTCACTTTCACTCCCTGTAAGCCCCTGTGTTTTAGTGGCATCACCGTCTTACTTCGGGGAAATGATTAAAAAATACAAATTAAAATAAATCACTGTAATAAATTTTAATAATACAAATAGACATTATCAATAAAACATTAATAATAATATTAATAGATAATAAAAAAAAGAAAAAATTTAATAATAATAAATTTTATACCTTTTACCTTAGATGTTAATAAACTCGGCAACAATCAAGTAATCCATGACGATGTTAATGACAGTCAAGTAACTCATGACGATATCAAGATGGAGTTTAGCCTCAATTTGGGCAGCCTCTGAAAGGGGCAAATTATCAAGGACAACGGCTAAAAAATGATCAAGAAATTGTGAATGGTGATATTGAATTAGACAGAAAAATAGGACCCAATATGCTGCATCGTTTATAATATATATATATATATATATATATATATATATATATATATATATATATATATATATATTGATATTAATTTAAAAGTGTAGCTTAGATGTGGAACAAAGCCGAAAGTATGGATCAGCCACTGAGGAAGGAAGTCACAATTCAGTCGTAAACGGATTTAAGGGGACAAGCTCGTTAATCATAACATCACATGAAAAGGTCCTCTGCGCATCGTTACAAATAGCATTCAAAATAGGATATAAGAAAACTGGATAATGAAAATATAGAATCTAAAAACTGAATAATAATAAGTGCCGCTTAGATGTGGCACAAGGCCAAAAGTATGGGGCATTCAGTGAGGATCAAACTAAACTTTTAGTCGTAACTGATCTAGCCAGACAAGCTTGCTAACCATTACACCACGTCGAAGTACCCGAATGATTTTATAATCGTAGGTTAGATGTGGCACAAGGCCGAAATTATAGGGATCGGCAGTGAGGATCGAATTCACCTTTCAGTCGTAATTGTTTTAGCGACACAAGCTTGTTAACCATTACACCACGTCGAAGTGCCCGAATTAATTTCTAAGCGTAGCTTAGATGTGGAACAAGGCCAAGAGCATGGGACACCCGGTGAGGATCGAAATCACTACTCAGTCGTAACTGATCTAGCAAAACAAGCTCATTAACCATAACATCAGATGGAAAGGCCCGCGCTTCGTTATATATAGCATTCAAAATCAGACATAAGAAAACTGGATAATAAAAACGTATAATCTAAAATAATCTTAAAAATCTAAAAAATTCGGGCAACTTAAAACTATTACGTCTTGTTCTTTTTCTCCTTCTTCTTCTTCTTCTTATTCTTCTTCTTCTTCTTCTACTACTACTACTACTACTACTACTACTACTACTCTTACTACTACTACTAAAATTTGATACAATATAGCATAGCTTAAATCAAATAAAGAAAATGTATTTATGTGGGGAAATTTGAAATACTAGTGCTGAAATGCAAAGTTTAAACAGTCCCCCGCCAACACTTCTAGTCGACGATGTCCCCACAAGAACGGCTGTATGTCTGCCTGGCAACACATTGCACCAATTTATCTTGTATGCACTACTTACTGACTGTTTTCCCTTGGTGACGAATTGAATAACAATGTGACGAAACATTTCGACACAATCCTTAACCGCTCCCAAGTAATGGTGCACTGGCCGCAAGAAAATTGCGTTGGTGGCCCATGACTAACTTTATTTTCACGGTCGACGAGTCGTCCCGATTTGAAACTTATCTCTTTCTTCTCTTACATGCATTGTCACAGAAGACATAAAGTTGTTGGAAAAATATGACGACATACATTTACTGTATTTTTTAAAAATGCTGTAGCTTTTCAGCACGTAGAGAATCATGGCCGCCCGCTTCTGTTTTAATTAACATCTGTGAATAACCAGGATTTGAAATTGTTAATTTTTTAAATGACATTACTTTTCAGAACATAGGCGTTTACAGCTCTCTACAGATTCCTTTTCTTTATTATCAGTGAATTGCCATGACTTCTTGAGAAAGATCAGTCAGTCAGTTATGTGCCATGCATGATACACGCTTAGGCGATCATTTATCTTTCGATACATGACTGACGAGGCAGATTTTTTTCCAGCAGTAGTTTGCCATTTCTTTCTGCGGTAGACCATTTACCATCCAAGGCTATAGAACCCAGTCTGTCCTGCTATTTACCCATAGCTGGAGGAAGAAGAAGAGGATTCATACCTTTTCCAAAGTTATGTGCCATGCGTGATACACGCTTAGGCGATCATTTATCTTTCGATACATGACTGACGAGGCAGATTTTTTTTCCCGCAGTAGGTTGCTATTTCTTTCTGCGGTAGACCAGTTGACCTTCAAGTCTATAGAACCCAGTCTGTCCTGCTATTTACCCATAGCTAGAGGGAGAAGAAGAATCTATTTAAGAACATGACACGAGTTTTTCAGCTTAATGTTTTGGTTTTGTAGCAATTTGCCATGATGGGGGGGGGGGGAGGACTACATCCAGCGCGGCTTATTCCATGTTCACTTTACTTTTCTCGAATACATTATTTGTTATAAATGAGCCACACGTTTGAAGTGTTTAGTATTTACTAATTCCACAACCTGCATTTTTATCATGTATTCTCTTTTCATTCTAATTTCGAATAATATTTTCTCTTTTGGAAAAGTTTATATTGAGTTCCATTTCTTGGAACATTCGATGGACGATGTTAATTTTCTGTTCAAGATCGTTCTTATCCCAAGATTTAGCTAACTAGTTGCACAGTACATTTTTGAATTGTTATATCTCTTCAAGGTGTAGGCGACTGTGGCTCGCCAGAGCTTCTTTTGTTTTAATATCTGCATATTGCGACAACTTCTTGTTAAAGAGAGTAGAGAGATTTCCTGATGCCTTTTTCATAGTTTGAATTCAGATATTTTCTCCGAGGACCGATGCCAACAATGCTAGATAACTTAGTCTATCCTTCTATGTAACCCATAGCGCGAGGGAAACGTATTCTTGCCTTCCGAAACGGAATTTGTGAAAATTTGAACGCAGCAGACGAGAACTTAACTTGAACTCGGCTTCCTGATTTCACTTTTTGTGACTGTAACCATTATTGTACTCACGCGCCTTACGAATTGCTACACGATTACTACGATTTCAAATTTAATGAATAGAAAGATTTCGTTAAATAAGGTTAGCTTTTTTCTTACCAGTCTTCATATAATTTTTTGGAATAAACTTTGAAAACTGGAGATAAATTTGAATCTACAGGGTGGTCCTAAAGTATTGTCACCCCCTAACAGTATCGTCCTCTTCGGAGCAGCTGGTTTACTGAATCATGTCGTATATCCTCTATGCTTTTGCCAAAATGCACACTAATCATGTGTCCATACATTTGCAAGCAGCCTCTCTTCCAAACTACAGGAGCTCGTGTCAGCCATAGGCGTGACAGGACTTTTGGACCACGTTGTAGTATAAAAATGGTTGCATGACTAGCATCTTCAAGTTCGAAAAGACAAGATCAGTTTAGTCTTCTTCGATATTATTGGATGTGTTTCTAACCGAAGCTGAAGAATTCATATTCCCAGGATTTATTGGTGAACGCAGACTTAATATCGTGGATGTTTCGAGAAATTCTTTAACATTGTGAACGTCACATTTTATTATTCAAATCAATATTTACACAATAAAATTAGTAGTAGCCAGCTGTTTCTAGTATGATTTTTTTATGCTATACTTATATTAATCGGATCGGACTGAGAAATTGGAGAGCCAAGTTCGAATCCCAGTCAGATCCATTACATTCACTTACATGCTAATACCGTTGAGAAAAGTATAAATCCCTTATCTCCCCCAGCCATGGGTAAATAGCGGGACAGACCTTGGATGGAAAATGGTCAATCACTGAAAGAAAATGGCAACCTCCTGCGGGGAAAAAATCTGCCTCGTCAGTCATGTATCGAAAGATACATGATCGCCTCGGCGTGTATCATGCATGGCACATAAGTGACTATATTGATGTGGGAAACCAACATTTTGGGGACATTGGAGCTTGAACAGATATGGGTGTCCCTTCGCAACCAGCAACAAGAGATCTGAAGATTCAACTGCCAAAATGTAGGCCATGAATAGGTTCTAACGAGTCCATACAGCTGCAGTTTTAGGCGCTGCAAGACCCCAGAAAAATTTGAAATTACACAAATTATAGGGGAATTCTAAGGCCAACATTAGAAACTTCAACCCATTGCCTTATGATCATATCATATAGAGTTGAGACACATGTTCCTGTAAGATCACCGAAGTTAAGCAACGTCAAGCCTGGTCAGTAACTGAATGGGTGACCGCTTGGGAATACGAAGTGCTGTAAGTTGGGATGTACGGAGTGGTGTTAATAGATAACGTCCCGGAATTGTTAATCTGGAAGTCGAGTTTCAATTTAACTTGGTTTCGTTATATTCACTTCCGCCCCAATACCATTGGGAAAGCTATGACTTCACCTCTTCTCGTCTCAGATATGGGTTAATTAGTAAGACTTGTATCGCTAAATCATTATTATCTTCCCAATAATCAGTGTCGCATTTACCGTCCTCTGTCAAAACTCTCCCCAGATATGTAAACTTCCGCGACTGCTTGATTCTAATGTTCCCGACCTGCAAATCGCATTTCGGACTAATCATTTTACTTATGACCATGGATTCTGTCTTCTTGTAGTTTATGCTTAGTCCCTTCTACTCACTCTGCGTAGTGGCTTTAATTCCTTGCTTGGGGTGAGATGATTTAAAAAATCTGAAGGTGAATTGAGAAGGTAGATTGATCTTTCCTTTCCTTAAATATCTCTATCTATAAAAGGCAGGATGTGTGTGTGTGAGTGTGTGTGTGTGTGTGTGTGTGTGTATGCAACGAATTCACAGCCGCAATTTTCGACGGATTTGCACCAAAATTTACATGCACATGCTCCAAGTTACGGGAAGGCCAAGACCGACTTTGCATTTCCCAACTCCCATCGATAGTGGAAATAATCGTTCTTTTCATGCTTCTACGGCAGTTTTCATGTAGTTTGCGGCCATTTTCTACTGGCCAGAGTGAGAGCCTATAGCTAGCTGCCACGAATAGGCAGGAAGATTCTATTGGCCAGCGTGAAAGCCCACAGCTGACTGACACAGATGTTAACTAGCATGCTAGCATGCAAAAAAAATCGATAGCTGCATTCGTCACAAGTGGGAAAAATTTAAATTTGCATGGCACTTTACTCCAATTGGCTCATTCGCTTGCTTAAACTCAACATTGATTCGGATTCCGCAGAACTGGGTTGGGTGTGAAAAAGTATTTGTTGTTAACATTCTTTTTTCATTCGGTTTTTCCAATTACGAGTCCTTTTTTAAAGCTGATCGTTTTGTGTTCATTTTGTTTAGTTCTTTTTTCATAACAGATTTAATGTTTACTATAGAGCTTAGAAAAAATTCGCAGTGTGAGATAGGCAAGAAGTAAGGCATGTAGCAACATCAGCACAGCAAAGGGCGCTCATTTAAAGGCAAGGAAGGGCAAAAATATTTTAAGTCAAGTGATAGCGATTGCTGTATGAGTCGTACGATTTTTGAATCAAGCACGGGCAACGCCGGGCCATGCTGCTAGTATTTAATAATAATAATGTTCACCAATAAAAGGGTTTCAGAGCCACACAAGTTAATGTGATTATAATAAATATACTATCATAGTAGAGAAAGAGAAGTGATAAGAAGGGGAAAATTGAGTATAAGAAAACGAATGTCTCTTGACGTTGTGGTCATAGAAGCGAAGGTTACAAAACGGTAAACAGGGCGGGAAGGAGAACAAGCATGCTGAGTTCAACTTGCAATCAATTCTGCCTCATTCACCTCACGCTATTGCATTTGAAAGAGGGACTAATCCTATTTTTCTTCAGCTATGGTTTAAACAGCAAGACATACTGGACTCTATTCTGAATTCAAACCATGTTTTCCCGAATAACTATATATACTCTCCTAAGAGATTACTTTGAAACGGTCAAACGCCACGACAAGAAAAAAAAGCCGTTCGAAGATTTTCGTGACACAATGTGCACCATGTTTCTGTTATCAGCCCATTCGAGATGTGTGGCTGGTTCTACACTGCTGTAGGTACTAAATCTCATACCAGGAAGGTGTTGAGGACACATTGTCCCTCGAACTGTCATTGTTTTGGTAGAGTGTCGGAACAATCTTTCAGCGCCAGATTAATCTGCTGGAGGTCGTGGCGGGCGGTGTCCTTCCATTGGCTGCGTGATCTGCCACAATATCGTCTTCAGTTTTCAGACTGCGGGTCGAACTAGTAGATGACTCTGCTAGGGTTGTCATAAGACAAGCTTTCATTACTATAATAGAATAAACTACATGGGTATCCCAGTTCTAAATTGAATAGTTGGCTCCTTAAAATCGATGGTAGAGTTCATCGTAATTATATGCCAAAATCTGTGTGTGCGTGCGTTTGTAAGTTCGAATATCATGGCCAAACAGAAGATTCTTTTAGGTCATTCGAATTCGCGATAAATCATCAAATAAGATATTCGAACATAATGAATCAATTTCCAGCAAAATAATTGACATATTGAGATATTAAGTAAGTTAAAAAAAAAATTACAAAACTGTCTTTGTATCGTACGGTAGATTAGATTTGAGCCGACACCCCCCCCCCTCTGCGTGAAGAAATTACTACTACGTTTTCTTCAGCGCCGAACGCAAATTATCAGCAGTGATTCAACGAAGCTAAAAGAAGAATTAAATGATATCATTACCACTCTCCAACGTAAAAAAAATTACACGTCTTTAGTGGGATTTAGAACGAGGAACAGGATCATCCTCAGTACGGACATGTAAGTACACTAACAGATTTGTTATATATGACAGCGGAACAAATCCAAAGGATTTGCAAGCGTTGCAACTTCAGAGTGATGCTTAATGCTGTAACTGTCCTCTTCATTTTTCTTTGGTTCTTTACGCAAGATATAGTCTAAGAAATGCATCTATAACATATGCGTATGTAATAATATATATAAGAAAATTAACCAGCTTTTTCAGATTAACCTCGAGGAACATAAAAAAGGACCCACCCTAGAGAGCAAAAGCTTCAGTATCAGCATTAATAAGAAAGTGAAGCGGCAGATAAAGGCGGTCAAGCGTGACAGAAAGGCAGCGACAGACACGCAATAAGAATACTATATTTAAGACTCCTCGTTCTTATTTTTTTTTTAAAGTGAGGTTCACCCTGCACAAGGCCCAGCGGCCACTCGAGCTAAGAAACAGTTTATGCGGATAGGAGGTGAAAATAACAGCTAACCCTAGATTTGAACAGGTTAAGAGTTCAGTGATCGGGGAAACATCCTCTTAGGAGTCTGTTCCTTATGACAAGGTTACTGTTATAACGCACACTCGTACTTGGTATAAAGTATTCTCTATACGTAATGCTTAAGCTATTGCCGTAACGCCTGTATAGTTAATATGAAGACAGACTCCCATACGACTCGTTATTACAATTCTTTGTCCGTACATTGCAAAACCATTGCATATCGAATACGTGTTCAATAATTGATTCTTTTCTTTTTTTTTAGTTTCTTTGAATTGCTTCTTTATTTTAGCAATAAAGACGTTCTTTTCTTATTTCTTTTTAATTTCGTCCATTGTCACTGGTAATTTCCGTACTACGTTGCACAGAATGTTTTTAAATTCCATCTCGCTTTTTAACGCTGCAATGATCGGGTCCTCTAATGGTACCGCATTTTTAGGTATTAACCTGGATAATCCATCCGCATGTCCTAATGTTTTGGACGGTTGGTACTCCATCGTAAAATTATAATTTAATAGGATGTTACCCCAGCGCTGTAATCTGTGAGCTGTATGGTTAGGTATACCTTTCTTTTCTTTTATTGCTAATAATGGTTTATGGTCTGCTTGCAACGTGAAATTTACTCCATGAATAAATTGATGGAATTTTTTTCGTAGCAAAAATGATTAATAAAGCTTCTTTCTCTATCCGGCTGTAATATTTCTCTCTCGCCATTTTATTTGTGTAAAATCACTGCTCCAACACTGTAATCACTAGCATCTGATGTAACTACAATTTTGGTTTTTGGATCTTAGTGCGCTAACGATAACTCAGACGTATGACTTTTTTTTTTATCTCGTCAAACGTTTTTTGACATTTATGATCCCAATTCCACTTTATCCCTTTTTTTCAGTAGATTGTTAAGTGGAGTTATCAAATTATTCATATTATGTTCATAAATTTGATAATAATTAGCCAGCTCTAAAAATGCTTGTAACGTAGTTACGTTTGTTGGTGTAGGTATATTTCTAATTGCATTTACCCTTGACAGATCTGGTTTCTTACCATTTTTATCAATAATTTAACCCAGGTACTTTATTTGGGGCAAAAACAATTCATATTTTTCTTCATTAAGCTTGAATCCGTATTCTCTATTTTTGCATAATTGTTTTGACATTTACAACATGTTCTTCTTTCGATACACTGCTGATCAAAACATCGTCCAGATACGCCACTGCAAAATCGCAATCCACATGTATGGCATCCATGGCTTGTTAAAAAATAGCTGGTGCTACCTTTATACCAAAAGAAAATCGATTAAACTTATATAAACCTCTACGTATTCATGGTCGTTAATTCAGAATATTGATTTTCAATCTGAATTTGTCAATATACTTCAGAGAAATCCAGTTTTGAAAATATTTTTCCGCAATTCGAAAACATTTCTTCTTGACTTGGTAATGGGTTAATTATGTCTTTTGAGACAACTATTTAATCCAGCCGAGAAATCCGCGCAAACACGAATTTTGTCAATTTTCTTTCTTTACGTACACCTTTGGTGAAGCCCATTTCGAATGGTTTACACTAATTCTTTCTAGTCAGTCCAACTCTTCATTTACTTATTCTAATGCTGCGAATGATATGTTCCGTTTCAGTTTAAATACTGTAGTCGAACCTTTTTTTAAATAAAAATTCACCTTGGATTTTAAACACCGACCCAGTTCATTCGACAGAACATCAGGAACATAATTTTTTAATTCTTCCTTCAGTTTTTCGCTGTGACTTTTTTTTTTATAAAGCGACCAGTTTTCCTGCATTTTTTTAGCGATAGATCGTACGTACGAGTTCCACTTGATGTCGAGGTGAGTTTAAAACACAATAATCTCTCAAGACACGTAGCTTCATATGGAGCATTAGCATCGTGGATGAAAGCGTTGGTTGTTGAATTTGATAACATATAACGGTTAGTACAGACATAGATTCAGTGGTAACAAGGCTAGATGAAGACAGCCCTGAAAATGGTTCCGTAGATTTAATAAAGGTTTAAGTTCG